AAAAAAACAACAAAAAAAACATGTCGATAATACAGAATGATCTCAGTTGTTTTCTTCCCTCTCATTGTGTTTTTTTTGTTTCGTTGTTTTGTGCTGCAGTTTTTGTACAAAATTGATCACCAGCACAACAGATTTCTGTCCGGTGATGAAAAAAATACAAAGAAAACCTCCATCATCAACTATCTTCACTCCAAATAAACTGAGGATTTATCCGTGTAGTTTCTCCAAAACTCTGGTTCTTTCAGATAAAAATCTGAAGCTATAACTGTGTAATAAAGATATTTGGGTATAAAAATCTTTGCATTATACAAAACTGACAACAGAAACATGAACCGAGGACGATTCGAGGTCTCTGGTGTGATTTCGTTCATTAGGGATCAAAATATTTCTGCAGAAACACACACAGTTTGTAAAAGACGAGGCGGTGACGGAGCTGAGAGGCAGTAGTCGTCCATTTACTGTCATTGCATACAATATGACACAAACAGGGAAATAAAAACAACACAAACTGAACAGAAAAAAAAAACAAACAGCAAATTTCTCTTTCCTTCACCCGAGTTATTACAGACAGAAACGCTCCTGAATCACATAAGCAGCTGCACGTCTTTTTATTCCTTTTCTAAACATGATTAGCTTTATGAACCCAGCTCCCCGGTACTGAGGTTGGCACATCGAGATGCAAAACAGCAACAAAACAAAATACAAAAAGAGAGAAAAATAAAGCTGCAATCTAAATAAAAAGGTCCTGCTTCTAATTAAACACAATCAGAAATCCAAAGAGTAGAAAACTTTTAAACCCCAGATCGGCTGCTAGTTCAGGCGGTCAGTCGACTCCGGTCAGTCTGTCGGAGCAGAAACGTGACGTTTAAAGACTTTTACAGGGAAAACTTGAGTTACTGGTCACAGATGGGCTACAGATCCAGATGTTTAGTTCATTTTACAGGCAACAAATCCCATGAAAAGACCAAAAAACACTGAATGTATCCTGCTGAAAACAACCGTGTGGCTCAAAACCTGATCGATCAGATTCCTGAGACTACATTTGCAGCAGGAACAACATCCTGGACGTTGTGTTTTTGTCCCACTGATGAAGACTGAAGGTTAGAACTGAAGCAGCAGCAGCTAAAACATCTCAGCTAGTGTCTAATCTGTAGGAAAACAGTCCAAACAGATGCTTATTCCTCCATTTACAATAATATCTGTAAGGTTGGTCGTTTGGTCGACGTGCTGTTGCTCTAGTGATACCTTCAGGATTAATTGATTAATTTCTGCTCATTTGTTTCCTCAAAGTCGGATCCAAACTAACTGAGAAGTCGTCGTCGTGGCTGCATTTTGTTTAAAAAGTTTAAACTTCACGGCTCGACAAAAACCCGTCAGATCGTCTACAGACAGCATCTGTTTTACTCTTCAGTCGTTCTCGATGAACCTGTATTTTCAGACGTTATGAATATTTTATCATGTCTGCACAAAAAAAGCAGATTCAAAAGATGTAATATGCTTTACGCTAAAAAGGCAAGCAGGTTGATTTCATTCAGAGATAACGTGGAGGGTTTTTTTTCCCCTCAAGCATCAATCGATCAGTTGAGGAGCAGATTTCAGTCGACCAAAGTTTTCTCTGATTCACTTCAGCCTGATTTATTTTCTTTTATTAAACTGAAGCTGTGTTTCTGAGGCGGGACTACAGGTCGTTTGGTCTTTTCATGGACAGATTGAACCATCATCAGTCGTCTCCTGCAGATAATAAAACGTCTGATTGGTTGAGTAGCGCTCATACAGTCTGATGATGAGAACGAAGAAGCAGCTGGTTTTTCCTAAAGCTCCTCCATGATCACAGCCACGTCCGAGTGACTCTGGCGCCTTATTTCAGCACAAACAAAGTCTGGATCACTGATGAAACGTCGACCGTAGACTCTTTACATGTGGCTGTTTTTTCTCCCTTTTCCGGCGTCACGTTCGCGGCCGGTTCGTGAGCAGAGTCGACTGTTTGCTGTTTTAGCTACATGAGGCTGAACTCTTTAGTTTCCATTTCTTCTGTGCGACTAAAAAAATAAAAAACAAAGAACATACATGCGTCGAGACAAACAACAACTCCTCTATCAAAACTCAGTGGAAATCAAAATTAAAAACGTTCTCAGATTTAGCTAATCGTCGCATCTGTACGATGGGTGACAGGAGGTGTGTTTAGTAGATACCGGGCAGTTAGAAGCAGGACTTCATGTCATTCCAGTGTAGAAACAGTTTTGCTGAACCTGTGCTTTGACGGAGCAGGTCGGGTATTTCCGTGCATTTCGGGCTGAAACGCTTTCGGGCAGAAAAACCACCCGAAGCGTCGCCGCCTTCTTCCACTCGGAGAGTTGTAACCAGAAACAACCTGAAGCTTCACCGCTGCCTCGTTTCTGAACCTCTGGAAACATCTACACGGCTGCAGACGGATGCGACGGAGAGGGTTTGAAACCAGAAGAGGGAAACATCTACCTGACAGAAGTTGTGAGTCTACCTGCTGCTGAGCTTTGTGGGGTCGCGTTAAATACTGGTCATCAGGAGCTAAAGGTTGTTTTCTGGACAAGAACCAAGTTTATGGAATTCTTCCTCTTCTTCCTCCTCTTCTTCTTCTTCTTCTTCTTCGTGGTTAGTTCTGCGGTTTCCGGCGGTAACCAGTCGGGTTTTCCCTGCGAGCGTCCCGGAGGCGTCACACCGCCGTGCAGCATCGGTTCTGGAAGAGCTGGTCGACCACCGAGGAGTCGGCCAGCGTCGAGATGTCGCCCAGGTCGTGCTCGTCGCAGGCGATTTTACGGAGCACCCGTCGCATGATCTTACCTGCAGACAGAAAGAAAGAACAGAGGTGTAGAACTGCCGTCGATAAGTTAACAGAGTACAAATATATGAACCGATAAGACTGAAGACGAAGGACTTCTGAACTAAACTAAAAAAACAATCGGATTCTGGTTCTTTCGTAGACGTGCTACGGGTCTGATTTACCATCTCATCTCTGATTTGTTTATGAGAGCAAACAACCTGTAATTAATATATTAGAAATGTGACCCATCAGTGGCATTGCGTCCTGGGCTAAAACAAAAGCAGCATGTTGCTACCACATGACGTTAATCACGGGACAGGATTGGCTGGCGTGGACACGTTGCTCGCGGTGCCAGTGCACAAGTGATTTCTGCGGCTTCTGTCTGGTGTTACTGCTCGTGCACGCGGGCGGTATTTGACAGCTGTAATGTTATCTGTTACCTACATGTAGAAAACAACTAAATGGAGCCGATCTACGTAATAAACCTAATATTTTATCATGTGTTAACGTCACTCGGGTTGGATCTGGGATGTAGATCAGCTGTAGTACCTGGTTGTACCACCAGGTGGAGCCTCTTCCTGCTTAATAAGACTGCAGCTTGTTTGCTGTGTTTAATACTGTAGAGACCAGAGGAGGCGCCCACCTGGACTACAGGTAGCAGAGAGCATTGTGGGGGTCCAGCTAACAACGGGACCATGACAGACTGTAGTGGAGGTTAATGGAGCCCTGCAGCTGAGTGGTTGATGTAGCCAGAAATGCATCGTCCACTTTACTGCATTAGTCCTCATGAATGATCAATCAGTGATTGATAAAGCGGCTGACTATCAGTTAAGACACTGGTTTTAAAATTTGCAGCCCTCAAATGAACTTTCTACCAGCTTTAAAATCTAGACTGGATTACTTTTAAATCAATAAGTTTGATTTGGGGGTTGAACGATCAAATATTTCAACTGAATTCTTTAAAGCTGCGACACTGTGGCGACCTCACAGCGAGCTTTTAGGATTCAGAGCACATCGGCCGTCCTGACCAGAGACTTCCTGCTTCGAATATCAACCAGTCTTGTCCCACATCTCTTGCCTCTCTCTGAGTTTTCTGTTGCCCCACATCTTTGTGAAGTCTGCAGGACGGAGCTGTTGGTAATTTTGACTAACAGATGCTTCGACGAGCTATTACGTTGTGAACAGTCACACATGTGATGCAGGTTTTACCAGATCTGGTCTTGGGGAGTCCTGGAGCGTTCTGGATGTAGTCTGGAGTGGCGATGGCCCCGATCTTTTCTCTCACTGCAGAACAGAAACCACATCAGACCAAAGCATCAGCATTTAGACGTACAGTAGAACATTAATATGTGCATTATTGTTATTTTACAGATTTTTTTTCAGTGCAGCATGTAAATATCGACACAGGCAAGAATCAGCACTTCTGCATGATCTTTGTTTATTTCTATTTTCTGCTGATGTTCTGATCATTTTTGCACTATCAACCCTCTGCTGCTGCAACACTGCAACCTTCCTCACTGTTGGAAGAATAAACTCTCATCGTATCTTAAATCTCTGGGAACGTTTTAGTCGCTAAAAGTTCAGAAACCTTCTGAAAAGCTGCACACTGACCTTGTTTTTTGAGCTCGGCCTCCAGCGTGCAGCTGAACGTCACCCCCTCGGTGAGCGTCACGAAGCAGTACAGACTCTCTCCTTTGACCGGATGAGGGCGACCCACCACGGCGGCCTCGGCCACCGCTTTGTGCTCCACCAGAGCCGACTCCACCTCGGCTGTGCTCAGCAAGTGACCTGGAGGGAAACCAAACAGAAAGGTCTGGAATTAAAGTGAAGTTGATGAGGTGATGCTCCAGAACGATGCTATCAGGAGAAAGAAAGTCACATCGTCAACCAACATTACACACATTTTACTCTCATGTTCATGAACATTGAACAGTACATACAGGAAATATGCTTAATAATTACTTTCTTGATTAATCTGGTTTGCGACAGCTTCGGCAAAAACCGCAAATAAAAACATTAATTTATATTTTATAGACAGACCGTAAACAAAAATTGGACAGAGCCACTGAGTTGTCATTTATTGGTTTGTGGATTAAACTTCTGAAACCTCAGATTGGAGATTTGAAATCAGACGTAACTAGTTAAAGGCGGAACCGACTGAGAACTCAAGAAGACGATGCGAACGGTAGCAACTGTCTTTAACTCTAAATGGGACCATTGGTAGCTAAATAAACATGATGCTGTGTTGAAAGAGGCTTCAAACTAACGTTAGAGGCCATAAATTCATGAGGGACACGTTCACTAAGGAAGCAAATCAACTAAGCAGGTTCATGTTCCCACAGATGGACTTCAGAGGAGTCGCCCCCTGCTGGCTGTCAGAGAGAACGCAGGTTTAATTCACGACGGCGCTGGCTTCACTTTCCTACGTCCACATTTTATACAGTCTGTGTTTCTAGCTGTTTTTTTTTCCTGATCAACACACCAAAACATTCAATTTATTATGACGATAGACTAAAACAGAATGTGAATTTGCACATTTAGCAGCTCAGAAATGTTGTGTTTGTTGGAGCCAAAGCTTAAAAGATGAACAGGTGATCAAAATCCTTGCCATTCATACGAGCAATCAGTTACTAATTTAATTTAATTCCAATTTTAATTGCTGTGGGAAAACGATTCTCCTTCTGCTTTTTAAGTACTCTGATGCCCTTTTGTCATCTTTTATTCTGTTGTATCTTTTAATTTTCTTGTTTTCGTTCTGATTTGTCTTTTGGTCTTTGTGTTCGTGTCTTACTGGTTGCAGTTCATATCTGTGAAGCACTTGTTGTTGTAAATGTGCTTTTTAAAATAAACTTGACATGTCAGTCAGTCCAGATAAAGTCTTCTATCCTCAGAACCTCGATTCAGATACAGAAAAGCTAAAAAAAATAAATAAATCTTCTACCAGAGAACAAATGTAAGAAACTTTTAAAAATGAGAAGGTCTGACCTGAGACGTTCAGCATGTCGTCTATCCTCCCTGTTATCCAGTAGTAGCCGTCCTTGTCTCTACGGCAACCTGCAGGACAAAAACACCATTTATGAGTTTACTTTAAAGCCGCATCTTGGTCATTAGAATCCAGCAGAACCTGAACAAACAGCGAGTGAGATGGTGAGTCAGTTTTTAGATGCAGAGTAAAACCAAGAAGTTCAGCTGAGACACGCAGACAGATCCTGAAATCACTTCAACAGCTTTAAAACTTATTAAATAAACAGAAATAAAGGAGAAAAAAAGGATTAAAAACATCGAGATAAAGGGAATAAAAGATAAAGACACAATGAGTAACGGATCATCTCAAATCATCACATTTTTAGATGAATTTCTGTTCGACTGTCTCTGATTTGCTTTGAATATTTATAGAATAAAACATGGACGTTTATTAAGAGATTTCTGAAATTTTTTCTGTAAAAGTTGCCCATCGAGCCACTTTCAGCAGGTTTTCTTCAAACCTTTAAATTTGAGGCTGTTTAAGCGACAAACTCTCAGAAACTATTAAAAATAAAAACAGAATGTTCACCGTTATGTCTCATCATGTCACTGATTCAGAATCTGCACGACTGGACAAGTAGGCAGAAACTTTCTTGTAAAAAATGAATAATAAATCACCAGTTGACCCACTTTTAGCACATTTTTTCGCACAAATTGAAAGATGAAAGCCTGAAAGTTTCACAGGTAGTTCTCATCAAAATATTAATGAAAACATTACAATATTGGACAAGTAGATCAAATAGTCTCGGATTACGGGTGAGCTGAAATATGAAAGAAAAACGGTGAAGCCGTCATGAAAAGTCTCATCTTTGAGCACATTCATGAAAAACATTGATAATGCAGACGTCAGCTAGCGATATTTTATTAACTATGTGTAGCTGCAGGTCACAATAACACAAAAGTAAACATGTAGAATAGTTTTAGTATGACAAGTTGTGCCACAAAAACAGAAGCAAGTTCACTCTTTCAAACATCTTAAATCTCCACAGTTTAAGAAAAAAAAGCTTTAATCGGATCAGAGACGGTCGAGCAGAATGATTTTTAGTAACATGACCCTGATCTGATGTCTGACGTCTCTCACCGTCTCCTGTGACGTAGTATCCAGGAAACTTCTTGAAGTAGGTGGTTTCGAACCTCTGGTGGTTTCCGTAAACCGTCCTCATGACGCCGGGCCACGGCTGCTTGAACACCTGAGAGAGGACGGAAACACGTCAGCATGCAGAAAGACGGATAACGGCTCATTTAATTCATTCCCTCTGATAATTAACCATCTCCTGACCAGGTATCCTTCGCTCGGCCCCTCCAGCTCCTCTCCGGACTCGTTCAGGATGGCCGGCACCACTCCAAAGAACGGGAACGTCTGCAGGACACAAAGGATTTATTTGTTTACGAAGACGGAGGGAACAGATTCAGATGATCTGACATGAGTTGTGTCGTTCAGTTTGCACCATTCATCACAAAGTCCTCATCTTTGCAACAATAGCATCAATGTTCCTTTAATTCTTACGCATTGTGATTAACAGCAGCTTAAACACTCGCTGGAAGTCGGGTCTCGCAGCATTTCAACAACAAATGGTTCATTCATTTCTTAATCAGACCAAAATCTTTAATTTATTAACTTCAAAGGTCGTCTGCTCTGTTCCTGTTTCACCTCTGGCACTTTAAAAGGCAACTATGAGGATGTTTTTTTACTCGCAAGACCTCATTCATGTAGATAAAGTAAATAATCAAAGACATTCACTTCTCTTTTTTAGGATTTATGGCATTTTAACTGTGTCACACAGCACAAAGGACATTCCTGAGTTCTCTCTCCTTCTTCATGCACGACTTTATACTGCAGTTAACAATGAGTCCACAGTGAGAAAAAAAAACATTCAGAAGGTTAAAACTTCTTTTCTTTACCCTTTACTTTTAGTTGTGAGGTGTCTGCTGCCTTCACGTGTTTATCTATTCCAGGTTGGTTTATTTAGAGTTTTTCTTTCCAAAACTGATTTGTTTGCGGGCGTCCTTCCTCTCCTGCGCGGTCACTGTTGTGCTTTTTTTTTAAATTATTGTGCAAATAAATTAAGATTAAAAAGTGAGTAAAAAGCAAATAAGTGCTCAGATAACTTCTTGGGGTTTAGAAGGTTTGAAACGTTAAATATGAAATAGAGGAATGAGGCGTTAACAGGCCAGAAACTGCTCCTCACATAGAGGTTCATTTTAGAGGAAGTCAAGTTGATTTCTTGGTTTCACACCTGTCCACTGTTAATAAGTGCAAAATAATAATAACTTTAAAAAGCCAGAACAGCAGGGTTAAGTTCAGTCCAAACATTTTAGTGCTTTTATGTCTTTTTCGTTCACTTTCACATCAGAACTAACATCCACGCTCCTCGTTTGTTCTGTTAAAGTTTCTCCCAACGTCCTTGAAAACATAAACACTCTCCTTCAAGCACTACAGACTAAAGCAAACACTGAGCTGAGTGTGTTTGTTGACTCACAGCAGATCCAGGCTTCATGGGTGTAGCTGCAGGTAGAGGCGTCAACACGTGTCCTCCCTGAAACGACAAACAGCGTTAACAAGCTGCTGCCACCGGGGGGCGGCAGAGCGCACATTCTGCTCTGAAAACTGAAGCTGAAGAAGAACAAAAACACATCAAAAAGTTCAATCTAAGTGCTTTTTGTTACAATAGAGGATAAGAGGCTTCATTTTCTGTCAGTAAATGAATAAAAGAACTCCGTCTTTAACGTTTAGAGAGGATAACGGAGGCTGGGTAACGTACGGTTTCTGTTTGCCAGAAGGTGTCGACTATCGGACATCTCTTCTCTCCGACCACGTTGTAGTACCACTGCCAGGCCTCGGGGTTGATCGGCTCCCCCACCGTCCCCAAAACCTTCAGAGACTCTCGCTTGTACCTGCACACAAAGGACGAAAACACGACGGGTGGATGAATAAAATGGTTTACGGAGCAATTAGATGGAAATAAAGAAGGTAACCAACTTAAACCTGAAGACGAGTGTTTTGATAAATATGGAGAGAAATCCCGTCCCAGTGTTTCAGTTTGAGGTAACACATGTCCTCATCTTTACAAAAACAGCATCAATGTTCTTTTATTTCTTATATATTTTGCTCAACAGCAGTTTAAACGCATGTCGTCAGGCTGCTGTAAATCAGATTTTGCAGCATTTTAACAGATGATTAAAGACGCAGCAGACGACTCACTTCTGCACCGGGTCGCTGCCGAACTTCATCAGCATCCGGATGGCGGTCGGCGCCGTGTAGAACTTGGTCACGTGGTATTTGTCCACGATCTCCCACATCCGGCTCACGTCCGGGTAGGTGGGCAGGCCCTCGAACTGAAGCACACAAACACACAGGAAATAAAAACATCTGCAGAAACAGC